AAAAATAAAAACATCATCGCTTTCTCAAAATAACATAAAGCCATATTATAACATCGACTGAGATAAAGAATAAAATGAAATATTAAAATCACGATGTATTTCGCTGCATTGCGCGAGTACGCTTCTAGTATATATATATATAGACTTGGGATCATATGAGACCAATGCTTTTTCGTGAGACCCGTAAAACCAATTCTCAACCCTTGGATTAAATCTATAATCTTAACACTTAATCACAAAATTTGTCACAAGAGTTCTCAATAATTACAAAATTGCCACCGTGCAACTTTAAACTATTAGATCATTAGTTTATAAAGTTGATCAATGAACATAAATTGGTCTCACGGGTCTCACGAAAAACTCCTGGTCTCACGTGAACCCAACCCTATATATATATATATATATATATAGATATAGATATAGACTTCTCAATAATCACAAAATTGCCACCGTTCAATTTTAGACCATTAGATCATTAGCTTATAAAGTTGATCAATGAACGTAAATTAGTCTTACGGGTCTCACGAAAAACCCCTGGTCTTACATGAACCCAACCCTATATAGATATATATGTATATATATATAGATTTGGAATCATATGAGACTAAGGGTTTTCCGTGAGATCCGTAAGACCAATTCTCAACTCTTGGATTAAATCTACAATCACAAAATTATCACCATGCAATTTTAGATCATAAGAACATTAACTTATAAAGTTGATCAATGAACGTAAATTGGTCTTACCAGTCTCATGAAAAACCTTTGATCTCACGTGAACCCAATCCTATATATATATATATATATATATATATATATATATTACTTTATAAACCACGTTATCGGAATTTAACATATATAATGTATATATCAAGGGGTTTCATGGATCTAAAGCAAGAAGCTTTTCTACCCACAACCACAACCCATAGATGGCTGCCACCGATGGGTTGTTGACTGTTCTTGAAAAATGCCGAATCTCACCACCGCCAAACACCGTCGGCGAAAGGTCACTGCCACTAACTTTCTTCGATTTGCGATGGCTACTCTTCCATCCCATTCACCAGCTTTTCTTCTATGACTTCCCTCATTCCAAATCCCATTTCGTCCAAACTGTTATTCCCAACCTCAAACACTCGTTGTCCGTAACTCTTCAACACTTTTTCCCATTTGCAAGTAACTTGATCGTGTTTCCTGCTCCAAACCCTTCAGGTCTTGCTAGAAAACCTGAAATTCGCCACGTGGAGGGTGATTCCATCGCACTTACTTTTTCTGAGTCTACTCTTGATTTCAACGATCTTATAGGAAACCATCCTCGAGACTGTAACAAGTTTTATCCACTGGTACCTCAACTAGAAGGTGCCTCTAAAGTATCTGACTTTGTGAAAATCCCTATATTTTCCGTGCAAGTGACCATCTTCCCGAACATAGGCATCACGATTGGGCTCACCAATCACCACACCCTCTCCGATGCAAGCTCGAGGTATGATTTACTGAGGGCATGGACTTCAATAGCAAAATATGGTACGGATGAGATGTTCTTAGCTGGTGGATCTTTGCCGTTCTATGATAGAGTGATTGAATACCCTCAGATTTTAGATGAAATGTACTTGAAACTACCCCCGATTCAAAAACTAGACGAAAAATACCGGCCTCCTGCACTTGTTAGCCAGACTGATAGAGTTCGAGCCACTTTTATCTTGACTCGGGCACACATCAATCTGCTAAAGAAATGGCTATCAGTTCGACTTCCAACATTAGAATATGTATCATCGTTCACATTAGGTTGTGCTTATGCATGGAGTTGCATAGCCAAATCACGTTTGCATCTTGAAGGAAAGACGGGTGAAAATGAGCAAGAAAGGTTTGTTTGTGTCATAGATTGGAGATCTCGTTTGGATCCACCTGTTCCTCAAACTTATTTTGGCAATTGCGTGGGACCATGTTTCACCACAACAAATAGCACCTTACTAACAGGAAACAAAGGCTTCGTTACTGCTGTTGAATTAGTAGGAAAGACGATAAGGGAAACGTTGAAGAACAAGCAAGGAATGCTCAAAGATGCAGAGACATGGCTAGACAGAAGCATCCTGCAGGTTCCAACCGTGGGTGTGGCAGGAACTCCGAAGCTCAACATTTATGATGTGGATTTTGGGTGGGGAAAGCCAAGAAAGTATGAGACTATATCGATAGATTTCAGTCGATCGATTTCTGTTAATGTGAGCAGTGAATCAGCCGAAGATCTTGAATTTGGTGTGTCGCTTCCTGCTAAACAAATGGATTATTTTAGTACCATATATGGGCAAGAATTAGAGGATATAATTTCTGAAGAAATATAAGTGATTTGTGTGATAATGTTTCAATCTATCACGATATTCACTGTTTATTTTGTTCTTCTTAAAGTCAAATCCTTTGTGCCTCTTGCAAATATGAAATGTTCTCTTTGATGGATCTAAAGCAAGAAGCTTGACTCTAAAGGTCAGGAGGTCTCAGGTTTAAATCTAATGAGGAATAAAACTTCCCTTGTGACCACAGAGGTTCAAACGCAGTAACTCCGGGCTATCTGCAAAGCAGGTGGTTGCCTGAGATTAGTCGGCTCGCATAGCGGGTTGGATATCCAGGTTAATCAAAAAAAAAGTAGAGGTCATCATGAGTTGAGTTTATCGGGTTGAAGAAATTTGAACAACTTAATTTAATGTTGGCGGTTTGAAAATTTACAACCAATCCGTTCTGGTTATATTTAGACAAAGTAAAATCAATATCGGGAACAGAAAAATAAATGAAACTTTCCTTCGAAATGGGATCAATAATTCAAGAGGATATGAGTTCATCATTTATTTAGGTATTACATGTAACTTCCAATAATGCCCTTTTTTGAGTTTCATTGCTCGTTGTTGTCCAGTTGTTTTTGGTAACCTCTACATATTAAAGAGAAATACCAATAATTTTAGAGAAGCTATTAAAACTTTTGGGCCTAACCCAGTTTTAACCCAATAGACTCGGTTTGTTCTAATTTTGTATCGATTACATGGCGATTTTACCTCGGATTGATTTTTTTGAGATTTTTTTCATACGATTGATCGGTTTTTTGAGCATCCCAGCAATCAATCATAAAGTAGAAAGATGTATATATATATATATATGTGTGTGTGTGTGTGTGTGTGTATAAGTTATTAGATGTCACACATGTGAATACCGTCAAAGAGTATGTAAACCTATAGAGTGATATACAAAAAAATTTGATTTTCTCTATTTTCAGGGACCTGAGTTAAATCATGTTGACTATTGAAATAATTATTCTTGACGGATAATTATGAAAATATATGTTAAAGTCTAATCATGATAATTGCATGGTGTTATCTGTAAATGTGTATAATTATATTAAAATTTAAGAGAATTATATAAATATTATAGATAATTACTAAAACCTTTGTGGAGTTATGGACCAACTATAAGATAGTCCATATAGATAAGGTGATGGTTAACTTAATTTTAGAGATTAAATCCTTTTAGATTAGTTGTTAATGAAAATATAGAATATGAACATTTTCTTTTATGTAATACACATATATAGTTACGGTTCTGTTCTAGCATCCGGTGGAGGTGTGAAGCGTGTTCATGTGTGGATCACCAGTAGAGGAAACTTGTCTTGGTTTTTAAGTGCTTTATCAAAACTGTCTCTAAATCTGAAATATACAGATTCTAAATAGCCTATGGCGTGTTTTTAATTCGTTGTAATATATCATCGGGTCCGACTTAGGTTTTAAGGTTTTTAGAAAAGTTTTCTATAATTGAAACCTAAATTACTACATTTAAAAGGTTAAAAATTGTATTAAAACCCTACAATAACGTTCTGTCGTTGAGTACACTGGAGAATTTTTGCGATTACAAGCTAGATGTCGCCTTTCCGAAACGGAAGAGCAAATGAAGGCGCGATATATTAACGGTTTGAAGTTCATTGTTCAAGACCGATTGGGTCTTCACAGGACCGGCCCAAAGGGTGGGAGAGACGGCCGCCAGCCCAAGGCATCAAGCCTAAGGGCATCAATTTAAGCTCAGTGATATTATTAGTAATGAAAACGTTTCAAAGTGGCAACCACAAGACTCAAATTCTAAACCTCAAACATGAATAAACACTTCCGTACCATTAAGCTATTAATACATTTTGATATTTTTTTTCTTCTATATTAATTTAATTAGTTTGCTTGTTGATTCAATTTTTTCTTCCTTGCATTTCTTTTTTCGACTTTTGTCTTGTTTTCATTGAAACATTTATTTATCTGAAATAAAATTAATTACTAATACTTTCTATGTATTGTGTTTTGAAAATCATGTGATAATATTTGTAAGCTTATTATTCTTTTTGCCAAGTATTTTTTTTTTTTTTTTTTTGCAGAAAATTACTAGGATCAAGCTCTACATAAAACAATTTAGATCACTAGCTAATTTCTTCTCGGAATCACAAACATCTTTTATTATATTTTCTAAAATCAAACCATATATGAAATAATATTACTATATAATTTCAACTATTTTTTTTTGTGATTTCCATAATCATAAATATGATTCTCGAAGATTATTTTTTATTTTGTATTATGTTTCTTGATTCGATGTTGAAACTCGTAATTCCAATTTTGTTATCGCCCATTGTGTGGTTTGTTGCCTAAGGTTATGTATGATTGTTTAAACTACACAACACTCGTTACTCACGGATGTTTAGATATTCAAAATATGATGCACGTACAGTATTAAGTTTTCCTAAGTTTTAAGACAAATTAAACATCTTTATATGGTTGTATACAATTAGTTTGCGCACAACTATCATTATATACAAGTTTCTAAAGTTCAATTTAATTTGATGTTACATTATGATTATAATCATTAGGTATGCATTACAAAAAAATAGATTATCATTCACTAACAATAACAAAAATTGGTTTAGGAATGAGACGCCTAGCTTGATTAGGTTTCAAACCCTTTAAAAATAGTATGTTCCATTTATAGTTTTTAAATAGTGGGAGCATTATTTTACCTTTTGGTCCAGGACATGAGAAACCCTAGGACCGGCCCTGGGTCTTCAACTCATTTGTCTGTGGATCAAGCCCAAGTCATGGCTATAAAAGCTGGGAGACTTCAATTCCGAGCTATGTATAACACTCCCCAAACGACCTTAGTTCAAGCAAGAATCAGTGCCTCCGATCAAGTCCGGCTCAAACTAGTCCCCAAAACAAACCCGTTTTCCGTCAAAGCATCCTCAAAATATCCAACCGAAACGTCAGAGCAAGTTTTAGCAATGCTAGTCAAACTCCAAAACTCCCAACAACCCATACACCAAACTCAGAGGAACCAAGTTCTACCAATGCGGGGAACCGGGTCACTGATCGAATGAATGCCCGAAACAATGACAAGAGTTTGTGACTAATCATGAAGATGACATAAATGAAAAGATCGCCCTGAAAGTACGTATGGAAGAAGGAGCGGAAGAGTATGCCAAAATTGATGGCAAACCGATAACTTGTGTGATACAAAAGATTTTATGCTCATCTAAAACTCGTGAAAACTCCCAACCAAACAAGATTTTTCAAGCCAAATGTTCCATTGATAAAAAAGTAGGTACTTTAATTACTGATAGTCATAGTTGTAAAAATCTTGTTTCAAAGGTTTTGGTAACGCATCTCAAACTTTCCAACCGAGCCACACACAAATTCATACCAAATCACGTGGATCCAGAATGCGCCCGTAGTTAAAGTAACGGAAAGTTGCAAGCTTTCGTTATCTAATGGGAAAATATATAACGACAATGTTACTTGCGATGTCGTTGGAATGGATGCATGCCATGTTCTTTTAGGAAGGTCGTGGCAACACGATGTGGATGCTACTCACAGAGGTAGGCGGAATATGTACCTCTTTTCTTGGCTCGGAAAGAAAATCGTTATCTTACCTACCGGTTCAACCGTATCAGTCAGGACGGAAAGAAAGGCTCTCAATACCACACTCAAGTTGGTTGAAGACGTGGAGGTCCAAGAAAAGATTGCTCAAGCAAATACAAACACCGTCACGTCAAAACTTTCAAGGTACGAGACGAGGTTATGGTTTATTTGCGTAAAGAATGATTTCCTATTGGAACATATGCCAACCTTAGTCAAAAGAAATATGGTTTGCATAAGGTGACGCAAAAGATAAACGATAACGTATATGTCGTTGATTTTCCTAATACATGACCATTTCTAAAACTTTCAACATAGCCGACATCTACCAATATCACCCAACTTAAGATTTGGCTTATCCAACTTAAGATTTGGCTTATCCTCTTTTTAGGGTTTTCTTTTTTTAATTTGTAGTTTTATCTGTTATATAGATTGCATGTTACATTTTTAAGTAATACAGATGTATTTAACAAGTTTTTAAAAGTTTAAGAATTTATTTAACATGTTTTAGAAAATACAGTAACTTATTCATTAAATATATTTTTTTGTCTAAAACTTAATCATTTCAAACAGGAAAGTTCATTGAGTTTTTTTTTAAAACTTTTCCTTATATATATAATAATCAATTAAAAATACTTCTAATTAACATATTTTATTATTTTAATTTTTCTTTTCTGTTTGTATTGATGTATTATATTATTAAATATTTTTTTAATTATATTATAAAATATTATAATTAACTAATTTTTCAAAATCCCCCTTTTAATTAGAAGTATTATATATTAAGATTCTTTGGACAAAAAGAAGGTATATTCAACAGCTCTCCATGACATGAAAGAAATATAATATAAGTTGTCTTTCTGTACATTCTTAACGTTATGCAATTTTTTTTGTTTTTTTTTTATTTTTTTATATATATACTAGTTGTATACCCGTGCAATACGGCGAAGTCACAAATATATACAATTTGAATAAATAAGAGTTATGGTTTCAATTGGACTCGATCGCCGGAAAATTGTATGATAGTTAAAAATTCAATATACTTAAACCAACCTAATCTAATCTAATTGCTACTGAAGCATAAAAAAAAAAAAGAATTATTCTACGTATTATTTGTATTTGCACCTTGATGTACGAAAATGGTAAAAGTGATTGAATAAAATTAATTGATCCGAATATTGGATAAAACCAGACAAATTTAATCATCTACCAGTATTAATCGAATGTGAAAATTTAGTTTCATTAAATTGATTATGAAAATTAATATACAACAAACAAATGAATTAGATCAACTCCATCTACGATGAGATCCTTCTCAAAAGAGGTTTTCTTGACTCCATAAAAGTATAGGGATGATATAAAATAAAAACACCCTAAAAATTTATATAGGGATGATTCAACTTCAGCAGACACCCAATAAATCATACCTCTCTTTGAAGGAAGCCGGTTGACTAAAAATATGCCTCCTATAAAAGAAGAAAGTTGATTGTGATAAATAGAACAATACTGATAGCTATATTTTCTTGGATGAAAATTAATTTTAAGAAGCCCTTATCTTAATCATTTTGTGAGTAAATGTGTTTACTTAACACTTGTTTTATTTTGTAGAGCCAGCCCAAAAAGAAAAGAAAAGCCCAACTTATGGCCTAACTTATGTAGACTTCATCAAGCCCAAATAAAGCCCACATCTTCTCCACATTTTTGGATCGGACAGAAGCAGATGTGAGAGGGAAGGAGGCGACTTCTGTTCGTGGGGGATCGATTGAGCAAGTACGTGGGTTCGATTCAAGAGGAGAAGACGTGGGTTTGATTGAGAGAAATCATGGGATCGATTCGATTGGAGAGGGACGTGATCAAAGATAATGGGGGGCTGGTTCATTATAAAAGACGACAGGGGCTGTTCGAAGAAGGGTTGTTTAATTGGGAGGAGACGGTCGCAAGGGAGATAGTCGCGAGGGTGGAAGAAAGCGGCAAAGGGCTGTTCGATTGGGAGGACTTCACCATCAATTCTCATCACTTTTGGTAATTTCTTTAATTTCTTAGTTTGTTAACCCTAGATTAGTCATGTGTGGCTAATATCTTCATTCCAACATTAGTCACTTTAGATTTTGATGTTTTCCCACTTTGAGATTTCGTTGTAATCATTTGGGACAAGTTTATTTGTTGGATTTCTAGGTTAAATGTCAATTTCACTTTGAATGTTAAGTTATTTGGCCAATTATTTGAT